CCAATCAGAGACTCCAATCGCATCCCGAGATGTCTCGTTATGTTCTCCTATGGCGGAATATGCAAATATTTAGCTGTTACGTTTTTACGTCGTTTCGTACCTTTTCATTTGATCACCCCTTGTATATATACGGCCTTGTCAGTCAGAGGGTTAAGCAAAAGTACAAGTTGGTTGTTTATTTAATTCAGCGTGACAAAGTATATAAAGATAACGATGTCTTCATGGCATACTTTCTATGAAAGCTGGTTTATATTCATGGAATGAAAACCACGAAGATACCAAAACATCTCGATTGTTCACCAGAATTCAAACCTGGATCGGTCTACCACTATTAAAAAAGAGTCTTTATTGTTTGGTTACTGCTAATCTACAACTTAAAAATTGCATTGAGTTATAATGCAATTCTAAATACCATTTGTTATGACTGTAATTATAGCTGCATTAATTATACTTTTAACAATAAAATTAACTACAAAAAATCACCAACTTTGTTCAGGTAATAATAGACAATTAAATTTTAAAAGATAAATGAAAGATCTTACACTTTCCCGAATGATAGTGTTTTGAGAAACTGCTATATGCAAGGGCATATGAATGTTTAATTAAGATCTATGTTTCTGCCTTTTCTGAAGAAAATTATTTGTATCTAGTTGTTAAAAACAGCGTGAAATCCATGGTTTTTCAATATCTAAAGTTATGGTAGGTAATATTATCACAACAAAGAAGGGGGAAAATACGAAAGTTTGGCTTCACGTACAAAATTTGTTCCAAATACATATCAAAGGAAAAACTGAATATTTTGAATGTTGCAAAGATCTTTAATATTAAAAAAATCCGTCAAAACAAAAGCACATTTAAATGCTCACTGTCAACAGCAAACAATGTGATTAATGTTGATCTGAATCTTAAAAAGGCAGAAAAGGCTAATGTTCACTGTTTTTCTCCACAACGTATTGCTGAATGCAGAACACATTGCAGAATGTGTATCCAGACAAAAATGGAAAAATATTGCCACAATAGATGAAACTTGGGTGAATTTAATTTACTATAATAAAAAGAGATCCATTTATTATCATCAAAGAGGAGAAAACAATCTTAAAAATATGGTTCAAAGAATCTAAAGAAAGTTTTTTAAAGGGACTTATGATTTTTCATATAACCACAAATTTTAAAAAAAAAAAAGAGTGGAGAAAAATATTAAGATCATATATTATCAGAAACATATTTTATACCCAATTTTCAAATATGAAATATCTTCTCTTTACCCACAGTGTCATCAATCAGTAGAACTGTATCAAGAAAAAAGAGAGACACGTCAAAATCCACTGTTAATTTCTTGAAAAAAAATGGAACAAGAAAACGGTATCTAGGCCACTTCACCCACATCTTTACCTATAAAATCTCCTGATGACCCATGGATTTTTGTGCTTTTGGACTTTTAAAACGCTGATTGTCCAAATGTCGACCTACAACCTTCCTTGGACTCTGGAAAGTTGTTCAAGAGGAACAGGATAAAGTACCTCTTCCGATACTGCAAAAGGCTGTCTTGGAAATTACGGTGGAGAAAGATAGTAAAGAATAAGAGTTATTATATACAACATTTAAAACTAAAAAAATTAGGTTATTCCTTAAATGCAGTGAAAATTATCTAAACAAATGTGTGAACAGCCTTTGTATAACTGCAGGTATAATTTTATTGTATGTGCAATTGTCATTACAATTATGTTGTAATTGAACTATCTGCAGTTATAATTACGTTGTAATTGTACGATTTATAGTTCAATAACATTGTAATTGTATAATTTATAACACAATTACATTGTAACTGAATTAATTGCAATTGCTGGGACTTACGATTACATTATACACTCATGTCCATAAATTAAGGATAATGCGAAATCAGGCAAAGGAAGAGTTAGAAGCAAAACAAATTTGACTTATTTGTAAAGATTATTTATTAAACAAAATGTAAAGAGCAATAAAAGATGCTATATGTTTGATATTATTAAAAAATTAGAAATTTTTTCTCCCTGGAGCAAATTAAAAAAAAAAAAAAAAAACTATTTACAAAAAAACAATATTACATGGTTGGTATGATTGTTAATACATTGTATGTCTCCCAGACGATGCAATACAGTCCGTACAACGCCTAGGCATGCTGAGTATCAAATTATCAATCTGATCTTGGGGGATATTACACCACTCAAAAAGCAATGCTCTCCGAAGTTCCAGTAGACATGTAGGAGGAGACATGTAGGTTGACAGGCTGCAACTCCGGTAGACATGTAGGTTGACGGGCTGCAACTCATCGACCAAGCATGTCCCACACGTGCTCTACTGGATTCAAGTCTGGTGAGAATGCTGGCCAGTCCATACGGGTGATATCCTCCGATTGAAGGCATTCACTTACGATGTTTGCACGGTGAGGACGGGCGTTGTCATCCATAAACACAAATTGTGTGCCCATAGTGCCCCGAAACAAACGCACATGTTGTTCCAGAATGACGTCGCGACAGATTTGGCTTGTCATGGTTCCAATTTGAACATGCAGGTCAGTTCTGGAACCCAGAATAATTCCACCCCAAACGAGCACTCCTGCACCACCGTAACGGTGTCGTTCAATGATGTTTTCTTGGTGGTAACGGGTACCTGGAGCTCTCCATATGAAAGTCTGGCGAGAATCAGACTGCAAGCTAAACCTGGACTCGTTGGAAAACATCACACAAGCCCACTGTTGCAGTGTCCACAATGCATGCTCTCTACTCCAGGCTAACCGCAGGCGACAGTGAGTTGCAGTAAGTGGAATGATCCTGATAGGTCTACGAGCATATAGACCAATCTGCCCTAAACGTCTGTACACGGTCTGCCTTGAAATTTTCGTACCAGTGGCTGAAGAGAGCTGACGAGAAAGGTCTGAGGCTGTGCTCCGCCTGTTTCTTTTGGCACTAACTGCCACACACCGGTCCTCATTCGGCATTGTAACTCTGGGGCGACCTGTGCTGTAATGTCTACTCACATTAACATCATCTTGGAATCGTTGCCAAAGCCTGGAGATGACACTCTGGGCAATTCCAAGTTCATCTGATACTTCCAGTTGGGTACGCCCACATTCCAGACGGCCAATAATTCTACCACGTAAAAAATCCTCCAAATGCGTCGTTTGTGTTATAACTATTCGGTTATTGCACTGAAATGCTTATAAAGTGCCTGCGAACAATTTTACTTCTTTGCTTGTATTCCTTATATATCACTCTCTTACACTGTCGTCATTGTGACGTACCATCGGTGTCATCTGGTTACTTTCTGAAATTTGCATATGATTCTTGAAGATGTGTGTAGTGATTTTACAGGTGATATATTCATTTTAGAGTTTGATTTCCACGTGGCTCCGAATTATCCTTAATTTATGGACATGAGTGTAACTGAAGGATACTATTATAATGCAATTGTTTTGTATATAATTACATTGTAATTCAATCATTAATCAATTATACTGTAAATAAATTATGCCCAACTCTGAACCATAGCCAACTCATGCATGTGCATACCATATACATGTTTCAGTACATATGGATTTACAAGTGTTATATCTAACAGTCATTTTACTGAGCAGTATTCACTGGCTGTAAAAATGTAAATAATGATCACTCAGATCTCTGTTTTTCCTAAAATTTCTTCTTTTTTAGAAAACTCTTTTTATTATTTATGAGCAGAACAGTACCTATAAGCCATTAAAATAGCCAAACAAATGTTTTTATTCAATTCAGAAAGTCCGCAGTGAGTTGCCAACTTTTTGTGGAATGTGAGTAATCAGAAAAGTACTGATTTTCTTCCTCTAAAAAAATTTTACTAGCATACATCGGGTACTACGATGTGTAGATTTCTGATCTGCTGTACAGTCAAAAGTCGTTAATCCGGACTCGTCGGGACTTCGGCGATTCCGGATTATAGATCATCAGTTTAAATCTCGTAAGATGGCATGCAGAAATTCTAAAATTAAAAATATGAAATCGTAATTTATGAAATAAAGAACAATTATGATCTAAAGGGTATCAAAATTTGCAAAAAGAAAAAGCTTAATATTTATTTGTTTACTTTAAACATTTCTTTCAATGTAAGTTGTTTAAGTTTTGCTTCGTTTCATGTGATAATACTTTCTCTTTAATTCTATTAAACAGACATAATTTCTTGTTCAGTTACAAAGTTCCGCTGTTCAAGTCCTATAATTGCTGTATCGAGAACACCGACTAATTTGTCAATCGAAATTTTTTCGTTTTCACTAACCTCTGTCACTTTCTTCGCTATCGGAAGCGAATTATAATGACGAGGAACTTGTTTTAAATCATATCAAGGACGGAGCACATCGAGATGAAATACTAATTTGGTAAGGAATTATAAGCCAAATAAAATAAAAACATCTGCCCTGAAGATAAGGATAGTGCTGACAGATCAACTTCCAATTCATTACGCGCCCTTCCCCCCGCCGAGCAGTGTGAAATTGATAAACAGATTTCGGATTTCAAAACATACTTTCGCTTTAGATCCTTTACATATTAACAAATATATATCGGAAATTCTATTTGATATAATCGAAAGTTTAAGCTTACTTTTATAAAATTGCTCTTACAGTCTGCAAAAAATAATAAGCCGGATCCAATTCGAAAATTAAGGAACAACGCAATCATCAACATTAACTGAAATAGATAATTAGATAATTTTAGCTTATACGTAAAACGCGTTATACATAAAACGCGCACGCGAAAACGTATTCTGCACTTGCGCACACTCATATGCGCAGTCGTAAAAGGTCTTACGTGCACGCGTAAACGCCTATGCGCATGTGTCAACGTGGCGCATGCGCAGAAAGTTTTTAGTTTTGAGGTCCAGATTATAGATCATTCCGAATTATGGGTGTCCGAATTAACGACTTTTGACTGTATTAATTTTTGTAAATAGTCACAATCAATTACAACTTTAATAATTAAAGATATTAAACTCACTTATAAGCAGCATAGCGTGAATATGATGTATTTTGCATGGGTAAAAACAAGGCATCTACATCACTGAACAAACTGTTATCACTATCCCAGACCCATACATTGTCACCATCATCACGTCCACTTGTAAACCACCTATTGAATAAATTAAGAACTCACAATATAAACTGCAACAAAAATTCCAGCATTTGGAAACTATAACACACATAAAAGTAACTATATTAGCAAGGTCTAGAAAAATTAAGTTTTCAAATACACTGTACTACAGCTTCTGTTAAAATGCAAATGTGATCAAAAATGAAATTAATAAGCTATATGCAGAACTCAGTGGAAAATAATTAATATATTAAAAATAAAAACTTTCAGGATCACTGCAACATAATAAATAAAAAATAATTTCTATTTACTTGCCTTCGATGTTGAGGATCATTTTCTCGTAGCCAACCAACTATAAAATAATGTTCTTCTAATGTATTTACAGCAACTAAATCAGTATTGTAACTTCTACATATATCTTGGGCTTCATCACGGGTCCTTAAAGGTGTTCTGGTGAACTTGTAGCATGAATCTGAGAAATCTATCCACTCTTTTGGACATGTCTGACATAATACTATAAAAAAATTCACAGTACTTAGACATAATAAGTAACTTTACGTTAATGCTAGTACACAACAGATGATGGGGGAGTCATGTTAACTCATTGAAGGAAACAAAACGTTAATTAGAAAGTGTTCACTCTACTGAGAATTTTTGACATACCTTCATTAAAGTTATAATACAAATTTATTTAATTCATGAAAAAATAGAATATTCATAATATTATTTAATGCATATTTGCATGTACAGGTGTATGCTATGTGACAAAGAACATATAGCATGGGAGGCAAACTCCATGTCAGCACGCGCTGCATTTTGGAATCCAGGAAAGTTCAAGAGCCGCAGCAAGATTCTCCAAAAGCTACAAGTCCATATTTAATGATTAATTTATTTTTAATAGCAGTGAAACAGGTTTCAAATCAAAAGAAACATCTGATTCCAAACATTTACTAAATGACAGTATGCCTTCAGATGATGTGATGATGCCTCGAAGAGAGTATAAATTGTGGTGCTTTTGTTTTCTCTAATTACAACTTGATGCGGTATAAAATACTCTTTCTCAGTTTTTAAATATACTGATTCTTCTAAGATATTTATCACAGCTTTGTAATACTCATGAAACTCTGAATTCTTCTTAAATCTGCATCACAGTGACTCAAATCATTTTTTTGCCACCTCAAAATAATTACGTGATTTCCTTGCATGCTCACTTCATGGCAGGCAAGCCATTGTTGTTTTTAAATTTTAAGGATTCTCCAAATGTTCTACAGGTTACATTACCATCTAAGCTGTGACTGTCAATACATTTATTAGAAATTCCCAAATTTTTCACCAATTCAGACATTGATTCAACTTACTTCTAATTTATATCAAATTCTGTATGACAATAAATGTTTCTGATGCATAACGTGTTTTTGTTACATTCGCAGATGTACAAACATTCAGACATTAATTTAACTTCTAACTTACTTCTAATTTGTATCAAATTCTGTACGATATTAAATGTTTCTGATGCATAACATGTTTTCGTTACACTCACAGATGACCCCCAATTTAGTTTATCTTGCTACAAAATGATTCAGAAATTCAGAAGACTTTTCCTCTAAAGCATCTACAAGCAAATCTAACTTTTAAAGTTTTTTTTATAAAATTGTTTTTCTTGAATCAGCACAAGATTTCTGTTTTATGTTTTTGAATAACATTATTAAGTTTCTTAAACTAACAAGAAATGAAATAAAATAATTACTTTCTTTTGGCCACTGAACAATTTTAGTTTATTATATTCCACACATATATTTTAACTGCAAAAGAGCTGCACCATTCGCCTGTGAGAAACACTTGTAGCTCGCAAGCCGTGCTATGTCCAGCCCTGATACATAGGAATGCATTTTCAATTTTTATATATTTTTCTCCTATAAACATTAGATACTCCTGAACTAGCCTTAAAGCTGTACTTTGTAAATCTATTATATTTCAGTTACAAATATGAGCAATTTGGGTAAAATCTGTGGAATATAATTTTAATATATTTTTGGTGACATCATGCCATCTAACATTCTTGATTGGATACTGCTTTACCTTATGAACACTTTTTTTTGTGATTTTTCAGTGGGGACACAGATAATCAGAACATAACACATTCTGGCTTAAAATAATAATAAATCACTAATGAAATCAAATCATAAAGCAACTATAATTTTTCTCCTCCTAGCAGATTTGAATGCAATAAAAAGAAATCATCTGTCCTTTTATGTTCCAATTTCAAAAAGTATCAGGAACACAAATAAGTATCCACCATTTATCATCAAAATTAAGCATTTATCATCAAAATTAAGCATTTATTTTGAAAGAACGGTACATTTGTTTTATTCAAGTAGTTGCTAGCAATGGACAACATTTTTTATTCAAAACGTTGTCCATCACTAGCCACTACTTTTTCCCATCTTTCTGGCAGCATATGGCTACCACACTGAAAGAACACTTCATCTTTCAAAGCTATACACAAATCAACCCAATTTCAATTCTATCCACAAATCAATGCTCAAAGGGATTCACAAACTCACCCGAATATGAAATGCTGTGAAAGATGACAATAAAAAGAGCAGTCTTCAGCATGGCTCTTAGATCTGGATAAAAATCTGTATAAAATTAATAAAAATTTCTAAATTTTTAATACCATTTATATGCAGATTTCCTATTATAGCACTCACTTTTAAATTTCTGGTATCTTCATATGATGTAAAGTGTTGCTCAGACATGCTATGCGTCATAAATCGAAACCAGCAGTAATCAGAAGAAGCCATGTCTAGTGAATACAGCAGGAGGGAGAAACCTTCTCATTTGTGTTTTCAAGTATGTTTTGACTAGTGGAGGAACACAAGGATGAGCGGTATAATGCAGGAGAATAATTTGATCATATCTGGAATAGTAGTGGATGCATTTTCTTTGAGTGCTCAGCTCAATCTCATCATTTGTGTTCAGTAAAGAGCCCCAGTAATAATTTCATTCAGTTTGAGCAACTCATAATACATGACACCCAGCTCATTCCATCATACACACAGCATGATTTTTTTTTCCATGAATATTCGGCTTGGGTGTCAATGCTGAAGCATGTCCAGATGGTCACCACGATTTATTCTTTGTGTTATCCTAATGGATCCATTTTTCATCACCAGTAACTATACAATACAATGTTCATATGAAATTTTCATACACTTTCATCTTGTGCTTCAGCTGGAGATTTCTTTAAATAAAAAAAGTAAATCAAAAGTTTCGTGCAAATGAAGCTCATTCAGCTCAAAATTTGACATTTTTCACATGAAAAAAATATATGATGTTGATATAAAATTGGTAGAATTTCAAGGTTTATGTTGTTAGCAGATGTCCAACCTTACAATATGATGTTTTACATCAGACAATTTTAACCATAACTTACTGGTGGCGTTATTTTTTGTCAAACTGCAAAGACTTATTTGTACTCCCAATAAATGCTAAAATACTCTTGAAAATTTACATGGAAATATTTCAATGAAAATTTATAGCAAAATTACATATCATGCTCAAAGGGATTCACAAACTCACCCGAATATGAAATGCTGTGAAAGATGACAATAAAAAGAGCAGTCTTCAGCATGGCTCTTAGATATGGATAGAAATCTGTATAAAATATAAAATTTCTAAATTTTTAATACCATTTATATGCAGATTTCCTATTATAGCACTCACTTTTCATAAGAAAGAAGAAAACATACATAGATTGCACAGAAAATAAAGGGTTTGGATGTAAGATAGCATTTCTAGAAGACAACTGATTTCATTTAATAGGTATGAAAAGGGTCACCAAATTTTTAATTTTGGAAAAAAAAAAAAAAATATTTATGTACAAAATAAATTTATAAAAGGTAAATCCTAAATTCTTATAATAAAAGCAATTTAAAAAAGATAAAAGTAGAATACTGTATTTCCTAGTATATTTTCCCCCCTAGTTCAATAGCGCTAGATTCTGAAAATTTTAAATTCACATAATTTTCACCTTACTCTGTTGTGCATAGTTTTTTGTTCTGAGGGCTAACTTATTGGTTAACTGTATTCCCTTGATTATTTTTATTCAATGTATTCAATTTGTATTTTTTTTTTCCATTAGCATTTTATCCATTTTAATTTTCCCTGCATTAATTATTAAAAACACATTTTGTGCAGATCCTTCATTAAGTTACATGGATGTGGAATGTATTCTCGCACTTAAGAATCTTTCCAAATATATGATTTCACCTTACTGTAACAACCTTCTTTAAATTATTCAACACATTATGCACTGTTATACTAATTTTTATGTCTCATCTGAATACAAATAACACATCAGTCTTCAAGTTACTAACATGTCATCCAAAGATTTCATTTATGCTAATAAATTGATCCTAATATAACTAGTATATATTATACTTATACAGTTAGCATTATTTCTGACTGAAAGTACCCTTATCCCTTTAACAATGGGTGCCTCAGTCACTGAGCCACTCTCTTGGAATGCCATGCCTACAGGATACACTTGCACGGTTAAGCCTAACTTTTGGGGAAAAAATTGTATAAATTAAATTTATGGTCCAATTGTTTGGTAATTTTAAATTTCATTCACTAAAATACATGAGAACAATATTCAGGTAGTTGTCAGAATTAATTTGAAAGATTTATCATTATATTTCCTTGCTACTTAAAGTAAACCAAATAGGTAGAATTTCATTTGGGGGACCATAAAAAGTTGCAGCGAAAATGTATGCGCAAAAGCGCCAAATCTAGCGAACATGCTGATTTCAAACTGTGTAAGTTTATATAGTTCTATATTTGTAATTCACCACTGAAATACTAGTTTAATTAATTCTTTTTTGATAATGCTATGGATTTAACAATTTGTGAATTGCCCTGTGATGAAACATCTGCAATAGAATTTCTTCAAAGAAAAGGCATCATTCATGATAGAAAATTATGTTTAAACAACCACAAGATTAAATTATGCTTTAGCAATAACTCAGTAGCGAAATGGTGGTGTAGGAAAAAACCTGTAATGAGAAGAAAGGATTAAGAAGTCAAAATTGGTCTGAAGGATCGAAAATTCCCTTCTTTACAGCCGTTAGGTTCATCTATTTTTGGTGTCAGGAAATTGCATCTATTGAAGTTTGTGAAATCCAGCTGAAGATGAACCACAATACATTTGTAGAATGGAACAGTTACATGCGCGAGGTGTGTGACACAGCTTTAATTGTTTGGCCTAAGTTGAAAATCGGCAGATGTGGCAAAATTATTTTTAAGTAGACAGAATAACCTTGGACCTGTTCTTCCGTCACAATGGGTTTTCAGCAGATTATGCACAGAATCGAATTTGCAATTTTGCATGTATTATGATTTAATTTTTAGTCTGGTATATTGATACACTAAGCCTAATATACATTGGTTTTAATATGGCCAATATACCACTAGACTTCAATACTTCACTTTAAACAAAATACATAATAATTTTAAATGGCATATCAGTCCTGTACAAAATAAACAAAATGACCTTGATCATTTATGTATAAAAAGTAAATCAACAAGTGCTTTGAAAATTTTCAATAAATTACTACACTGATTCGTCTGATTCTAAAAATGAAAATTCATTTACTAAATAAATCTTTATTTTTTACAACATTATATTCATTTCACTCCTGGAAGGGTTTTCCTCATCATCAAATTCCTGTGCACATAGTTAATCAACGTTAACAACCATATTATCATTCCATTCCTAACAATGTAAACTCAACTGTTCTTGCCTACTCCCTCAGTCTACTTCATTGAAACCTAACTCATGTCCAATGGCTACAATTTCATTAACAACTGTGATCAGTTACTAGCTACATCTCACATAACCAGTTGAACAATGAGAAAAATGTTCTTTCGATACAATAATTTCATATTTACAGATGTTATTTGATCCAACAATTCTTGAATATTTTAATAGCATTTCTCCCAGAAATGAGCTAATGAAACTGACCTCTATTACTCTGAATTAGAAATTCAAGTTCAAAAATTAAATTTCATGAATATTTTAAGATACACAGGTTCCAAAACAGATCTCGTGTTAGGAGCTAAAAACACAATTTTAACAATTGCAAATAAATTATTTATCCCAAATACATAATTATTTACTATTCTGCTTAATAGTTCAAAACAGCATTCTTTCTATAGACAATGAGTTACTCATTTATATATTTGTGCTATATCCCATATAATTATGCCGGCCCGGTATGGACCTATTCATGTAAATCTCTTCAAAAAAAGTTACAAGCTGCCTCAAAACGGTGTTTTCAGGCGAATCTCTGATGCTTCATGGTATGTGAGAAACCACAAGTCACATCAAGAACTACATATCGATCTGTTACGAATGTATTACTGCCATATTGCTCGAAAGTTCTATAGTGACCAAAAATTAATTAAGAATCCTCCCATTCAAGTGTATGATTACAATGTTAAAGATCCCTGTTACAGTAAACGGCCAATGGCCATTCTTACTAATCAAACTGATTAATTAAGGTGCATTGTATATATGCATCTTTATGTGCAATGTGTGTTTTTCTCTTATGTTCAACTCTCATCTAAGTAATTACTTAATGATATATTGTAATGTATGTTTTTTACATTAGCACACCTTGGGTCTTGCACTTGCTTATTTGTTTGTTTATGTTTACTGTGATTTACGAGATCAAGAGATCATCAAAATTTATTATCACTAGCTCGATCAGTATCTAGCTTCCTCAGCCGGCATTTCTCTCTTTGTACATTCTAACTATTCGGTTGGATCCTAGCAGAGCCCACACACTTGGTGTGAATGATTTTGGTTATGGTGCGTATCGATGTGTACATGGACAAAGTCAAGTGAGTGTGCAATGCCAAGTTTGTGCAATTCTCTGATGTTTTTTATGTGAAAATAGGTCAATGTGTACATGGATACAGAGTCTGGACAATTCTTTGACTTGTTATTTTCAAGTTGGCAATTTTTGGGAAATGCTCGAAGCAGTGCACACTTTCCCAGGTTGTCATCAAGGGTATGAGCTCTCCTAGGATTTTACCAAGTATTCTAATTCATAATCTAAATAACTGATAATTACTTCTAGCTCAACTTATTAATAAAAAAAATATGCGAATATATACATATGGGAAGCACATCCGCAGAGAACCCGGTAAATGTAAACATCGCCAACTTTGGCGATAATAGTTCAAACCTGGTAACTCATCGGATATATCCCTTGTTCGAAGTATGCAACCACTCCTTTTGCGTTTATTTTGTTGAATTATTACTGTCTTTGTTCGCATTTGCAGGTTTATATTATTCTTCTCTTATTTATTATTAGTTTTTCTGAATTCTTTAACAACGAATAAATAGAAATATTTTCGTAGATAGATGCCGGTTCTCGGTTCGGGATGAAGGAGGGGTGAATGCTAATTTGTAACACGGCTGTTCACGTTGTGTTCTTAATTATGAACAGCTCTAAGAACCATGAGGTTTCCAACGTCTAAAGTAATTTGTTTTCGTAGACCGCAAAAATGTGCATTTTAAATAATTAAGTAATGCTTTTATTTTTATTATTGGTTATTGTCATCTAAAATTCTGAGAATAAATTAATTTTTATGGCGTAAAATTTAAACAAGATAATATATTGTTAATGCTTTTCTAACAATAACCTTTCAGAGGATGGCAGGTGTGACATAAATAGATGATTAAATTGCAATAAAAAAATATTATTGCATTATCTAAGGATGACAGAATAGTTTGATGCATTCACCTATGGTCATCAAAATTAGCAAACACTGCTGGTAGTAAGGAATATATTGTTTTCTGTGATTAACTGGAATTTAAGACAAAATTTTTTTCGTATGTCACGTTTTAACCGTTAATTTCAGTATATTAATACTAATTTATATTTTTATATGAAGTTTTATTTCCGTTATAAATGCTCTTATGCAAAATATATTCTTTTCTGTGCTAACTTGAATTTAATACAATTTTCGTATATCACGTTTAACCGGTTAGTTTTACATCTACATGCTTATTATCTGTGAATTTTTACTACAATATGCTTAATACATTGTTTTATCTGCTAACTTGAATTTACATGCACTAAAAATCACGTTTACGGCTCGGATTATCGTCGATGAACCGCGAGCTTGGCGAGTAAAAATGCAACGGCGCCAACGGGTTCTTTCCCGAAGCGCCAACGGGTTCTTTGCGGATGAAAACCCTACATATGTACTCTATTTCCCATTCAGTTATTTCCTGATGTAGTAATTCGAAACAATGTATTTATTCGTTTAGGGGTAGGGTCCTCAGACCCAGGCACCCTGGTGCTACATCACTCTTTCATATACGATAAACATTTGAAGCTCAAAATTATTTTCGACACAAAATAAAACTGAAAATCTGTTGCTTAGTTTGAACTACAAAAATAAATCTCTGACATATTAAGTAAAATTCTCTCTGTTAAGTAACAATTCACTGCAATTAATAAACGATGTGAACTCAAAAACACGGTAATCGAAATTGTCTAAAGAGAAGGATTTCTGTATTTTAAGTAACCCAAAATTTGAATATCAACTACTCAATACTTTGGATATAATCAGTTTAATATATATTTAAACTGCTCATAAAAATTAATATAAAAATTTTAATAACAAAACCTGTTTTATAAAATGCAGATGAGTTCTAATAAAACTTCAATAATTTAATATATGTTAAATCAGTCATTCATAATACAACAAATTTCATACAATAACATCAGCGTTCGTATAAAAAGGCCATAATTATTGCAATATTACACAATGTCCTTCTATAGAACAAAGTAGTAACTCTTCGTAAGTAATAGCTGTAAAAATTAACGAACTCACATCCAAGTGACCAAATCAAAAAGGAAACAATTACGTCTGAGATGCGAACAAGAATTATTCTTTGGATTGCATAGATGTTGCACTGATATAAACAACGAACACACCCTTTCCTTTCATTTAGTAAACAGAAATCGGTTCAGCATCAAAAATAAATTGCCGCAAATAATAAAACTGAAGCCGCGCCTTGAATACTGTGGCAGAGCAGCTAGCTCACAAAAAACAAGAGTAAGAAATCATACACCACATCTGCTCTTATTTTAAAAGTTCACAGAAATTAATCGTTATTTGGTTCAAAAGAAAATTGTTACTGGACTCTATTACTCAAATCTTTAGATATATAAAAAATGTCCTGAATTGACATGCTTTTTAAAAGATTTCGCTTTATTATAAACAAAAACACTAAATAAGTTCTCTAAATTGTGAAACAATTTAGTTCGATATTCGTATCAGATGGATAGCCGTGTACTCTATATAAGGGTGTTCGGAATAAATTTGACAGTTTCGTAAGGAGAAAGAAAATCCGCTTGTATGAGTAGTAGCGAAGGTCTTCATTGAGTGAAAGCTTCATAGTAGAGGCTGCAACATTCATTTCACGTAACAAAGCCCGAATTCCAATGCCAGGGTTCTTCAACACCTGTTCCTGCAGATTTGCGAGGAATTCTGCTGTACAAACGCAATCAGATCGTCTGCCAGGGATCTTTCTTCTTGCTACATCCTCGTAGTCACCATTGCAAGTCTCTAGTTCATGCCCGATTGTTTTTACTGTGTTCAGGGAGCATTGGGCAGCAGTCATAATATCCTTATTTTGATGGCCGGCATGAATCATCATGATGAAAGTTATTCTCTTCCATGATTCAGATGGGTTCCAGTCATCCATCCTTTCTGACATCTTGTATATGAATGAAGAAGGGTCCAAACTTTTAAATGACGAGTAGTGTATGTCAATATCTCCAACCTACGAAAAAATATAATAAATTATAAATATGTCAAATTTATCCCGAACACCCTGTATTTATACTTGCCTCGCACTCGTCATTCGGGCAAAAAGATCTAGCTAGTGCAAAACAAGACACTATTGTCAATTTTTTTCTGTCTGTAAACATTTGTTAACAATGGATATAGTGTATTATAACTTCTAGTATACTGTATCATGGAATTATACTCCGCGTTTTTAACTAATTATTGCCATTTTGGCTTCACCGAGTAAAGGAATAAAAATGTCAAATATATATTTGTGTTTTTCTTTGAATTGTGTGTATTTTGAGATAACGGTGGATATATGAATGTGGAATGAAACATGGCGCGTTGATAATCTCTCTAAGTGCTTTGCTTTGAAGAACTTGGATATGCTACAGTTGAGTTTTGGCAACGAGGACCACAGAGTAATGTAGTCCGTCACAATTAGACACACGCCAAAGGTGTACGGAAAAGTGTACCGTGACGTCACGGTCTTAGGGCTGGCTTACTATATTTGGCTTCTTATCATGTTTCGCGGTGAATTATGGCAAAGATTAATAAATTACCATGCAATGTAAACAAACATCGAAGATTTCGTATTGGGGTACGAACATTGTTGTAGTGTTCGCTTATTAATAAATTTCTTTTGGTGATAATTCAGTTAAAATCACTGATAAAAGTTTGATAGAACATGTGAGAACTTCCATTGCAGTGTTCTATGAATTAACATTTATTTCCTGCTAAACATATTATAAATAAAAGAACAAAATAATCTCAATTTTTAATATCTTTGTTAGCAATTCATATGATTTTTTTAGTGGTATGAAAAAATTTTGTGCATATTGATTTAAAACTATTAAAATAAGATACAAAACAGTTTTCTTTTTTTTTTTTTTTTTTTTTTTTTTTTTTTTTTCTTACGAAAGCGCTGCTGAAACTGTTTAATTATAAAAATACTATTTTAATACTGAATTTTGAACGCATTTTTTCTGTTGATAATTTAGTTAAATCGTAAATGACTATGCTTTCGCATAATTTAACATCATTTGTGAAGTGAATGACACTAAATTTCAGATGTGAATTTTTTAAATTTCTGTCTTCTGCCTCTGAATAAAAATTTATTCTAATGTTTTGCGAGTTTTAAGTGTATCAAAATGTCAATGTTCCATCGGCACTGTGCAGACAGAAACATGGGAAATTGAATCGTTGTTGTAATTATTATGTATTTAATGTGAGTAAAATGTTGCATGTTTGATTTTTTCCTTGATGAATTTGAAATTATGAAAAAATAACGTATGGTATAGATGATGACAGAAATTTTTAATGAATGAATTTAGAAACTGTAAGATGAAAAGAACCTTTGATCTGATTCACAACTGCATGTCACAAAAATCTTCATAAAGTATGCCGAAAGTTTTATTCCTGCAAAAAACATGATATCTATTATTCAAGTTTGTGATTAAGGAATTTTTATAGAGCGATGAAGCGATGAAAGAATGATCTTCGTGAGGTGAGCTGTATTCTTTATAATGAGGAAATTTGGAGTTTTATTCCTTGCAGAAAACATGATATCTGTTATTCCAGTTTGTGATTAAGGAATTTTTATAGAGCGATGAAAAGAATATGATCTTCGTGAGGTGAGCTGTATTCTCATAAAGTGGAAAATTGGATGAAAGTGTAAATGAATTAATAAGGACTAACCTTCTTGGTGCATTTTCTGCATCTTCTAAATACATATTTTGAAACCATGTTTCAGAAAACACAATAATGAACTGTTTTAAGCAGGATCACATTTACTGATGGCAAAATCAGTCACTTCCCCAAACAGCTCCAAGCACAAAATATGAAAAAAATGTCTTCGAATAATGATGATGAGAAAACTTTCTTTCTTATTATTCCTCAAAACTGTCTCACCCAGTTCTCATAAACTGTTTATGAATGAAATTTTTCATGACAACTGCATGCTGTACACTATTATTGAATTTTTAGCTCTTATTTCTTAATGAAATACCTGTGGAAGCATGCAATTTTATATTTCTATTATACATCCATTTAATTACGTTAAACTGTATTGCAATTTCCTTGGGCATATTTCTCATCATTTACTATTATGATTCAGTTTTTTGCTATCAACATAGATATGGACAAATGTAATGATATGCAAAACAGTGTGTGCTTTTTTTTTTAGAAAATGCAATCGAACTTCACAAAGAGAATAACCTCTTACTTAAATAGATTTGTCGGAACTACTCTGATATGCGCCCTCAAGTCGCCAAATATTTTTGGCGAGAAACTTCACGCTGCCATATTACTATCTAAATTTTTTGTCTACATTTTGAACTTTTAGCCTAAAATGTCTCAAAAATGCGGTTTTCGCACATGCAAAAACTACGTTTTGAACACACAATTTAGCTAAAAATCCGAAACAAAAACAAAAAATTTAGATAGCAAAAACGTAAAGTTTCTAACCAAAAAGATTTGACAAGAATCCATGTACACGGCAACATGTTTTTAATTAAAAAAAAACATCTACGAATTGCACAATGTAGGCAACGAAACGAATCTACAAACTACGCACCTCGCTTTAATAAATGACATAACAACAATAAATTTCAAGAATACCATGTAACAGCATCCTGTTTAAACTTAAAAAAATTCTACGAATTGCACAATTTAGGCTAGGAAGGAATTACGATCTACGCACTCCTCGCTTAATAAAATAACATAACAATAAATTTCAAATAATACCTGTACAGCGTTCTGTTTCAACTTTAAAAAACATCTACGATTGTACAGTCTAGACACTAAACAACAAAAAACTAAAATAAATTTCAAACAATTAAAAAAACAACAAATAACGACAGAAATTCATACTAAAGAACAATGAACATAACTTCTACAAAAAAAGAACAAGGATAAAAATAATGCACTTACCATGAATTAATACGTTTTCGAATAGCAGAAATATAAATTTCATACCGCCTTTAACATGCCGCCACGTAATCACTATCGTATTTAATGACAGCAGACACACTCCAGAAATTATAACTATTGTCACAATAAATAAAATCACAAATCCCTATCTTCATTGCACTGCCATTAAAATAATCTCCCACCCTCTTTCCACAACTTCCCCAAACCCACTACCCTTCAACAGCATAGCCACAATCATATTTCCTTTTGCCGAACTTCAATTCAACAACTACCATTTTATCTTTCCCTCCCATCTTCTCAGACACAGAGGCGAACCAACGAGCTCCAGCGAAAGATTTTTCAACGTCAACAGGGTTGCCATAGAACACGCAATCGAGCCAAAAAACAGCGCAGAACACATATCGCCACATTTGGTGAAATTAGGGCGTATATTAGAGTTGTACCGATTTGTCTTATGGGTGTGGTTATCTAAGAAAATATGCTATTAGTGATGTTCTATTATCAGCCATATTTTATTTTATATCAGTATGCATCATTTGTAAGGACCACTTCACATAAATTTTTCTCCATTATACATGTATAAACAACGAGTTGAATGCTTGTCATAATCAATAAAGATTACTGCTGCACAGGGATGTTTTTAAAAGTATATTTACGAGTACCCATTGGTGATTTTGGCGGCACATGGTACCGAGTTGTGCACATTGACCTACATAAATGCAACATGAAAAATTACAAATTATGATCAGAACAAGGAGTTATAATAAAACATTGGGTTAACAAATACATTTGGTAATGAAAAAAACATCAAAGAATTGCACAAACTAGGCATTGTGCAATCCTTGACCTTATCCATGTATACGTTGACCTATTTTCACTTAAAAAATCATCAGAGAATTGCAGAAACTTTGCATTGTTCACTCCTTTGACTTTATTTACTGACTGAGTATATTTACGGATGTACATAACATTCAACTACACAACAATCAACATAAATGAAACAACAACTTGGCGATAAATGAAACAACATCTTTGCAATAATACAAGGGGTACCCTTCAGTCTGCTCTAACTGATGCTTTATATAATTGCCTGTACTTCTGCTGAAATGATACTGTAGCTTCCGCTTACAATATTTTATCAATAGATATTTTCTTTTTTAGTAAGAGAATGTATAGTCTTCACTGTACCTTTATTTACCTCATCTTTATGAAATGCATTGCTATGCTTAATTTGACATTTTTATATCTGCTTTCTATTTTAAATATTTTTTCCTCCTCTTTTTTTTTTCAATTCTTTAAAAGATGGGTCTTTAGGAGAAAAAATTAATGTTTCCTAAAGTGTCATGTACTGTTCTCAAAGTGGGCTAATCTTTTTTTCTCTGCTTTTTTATTTTCAGCTTTCTTGCAGATAATCTTTTAGCTCAAAGTGGCATTGCCCAGAAGGTATATTGCTGGTGCTATCTTCCATTCTGCACAGGACGTCTGAAATGAGGGTGATGTTTTTTTGGATTCGCGGCCAACAAGTTTCTATGCCGAAAAACTACCAAAACGTTGGCAGAAAAATCATAGATTTGGAAGGTGATTACTGCCCGCACTAAAGGTACTGGTTTCATGTTTTCCCCCTAACTTTAATGAAAACATTAACCAGATATTAATCCATTTAAGTTTTTAAGGGAGACTGGGTTTTATTTCCTTAATCTGAAGTGGTTGTAAAGTACGTTTAATGTACTTTAATAATTAGAGATTTTACTTGGCTTTATATTTTATCTGATCTTGTGAATTTTATGCATCCCTTCACATCACGGTTTTACTACAAGGCGTTTCATTATTTTGTTGCTTTTATGTTGTTTCGCATTTTTCTCATTACATAATGCATTTTCAACACGTTTTAGCTGATTTTTATAATTTCATACCAATTCTAAAGGAGAGAATAGATTATCATGCTTTTGGCCCATTATAGTCATGTGCCAAAATATCCACCAACTAACCAACAGTATATGGTCATAAACAGACCTAAAATTGTATAAGCTTGGTTTTTGAGATGAATCATAATTCTAGACGGAGCGCACCGGAGTCCTAAATAAGAACGCTCCGGCACTTCTATGTAACTGAACAATAATTTCAGTAGAAATATGGTCTCGAAAATTTTATTTTTAGCAATAAAATTATATTAAAAATTGCTTATTAAATTTTAATTCATCTCTGTACATTTCAGTGCTGGTTTTAAGCTCATTTCCGGCGCTGTGCGCAGAGGATCTAGGGGGGGCCCTTGGCACTGGCAGATCCAAGGAGGAGCGATAACAAATGAAACAAAATTTTAATTTTTATTGTAAAAATATATATAAAAATAAACAGTATTCTTAAAAAAAAATAATAAATAATTATACCAGCATTTGCTATGACTACACATAAAGCACAAGGACAATCATTCAAAAAAGTGTAGGTATATACTTAGCTGAACCTTTTGTCACATTAAGTAGAGTAAGAAATAGATACAATTTAAAAATCGCATTGCCCGTAGATTCAAAAGAACATATTACAAATGTAGTTTACAAGGAGTTATTGTAACCAGATTAAAGGAAGCAATACTTTTATGAAATATATATACTTAAAAAAAACTTTTAAAGATGAATACTATAAAATCCATTCTCAGAACGGGTAGCTCTGCTAGTACTACTACTAATAATTTACCTTATTCACTACTATCTGCTATCTTGCAAACCAGTACAGTAATCTATCGTTTTGTTTTTCTGGCAGTCCACACTCCATTATTTATTTATAATGTTTGTGTCGTGTTACATATTTGGTAAGGTACTGTCTGTAGTCTAATTCATCTGCCTGCTTCCTGATGTAAGACTCATTATAGTTGTCATCCCACTCTTACCACCCGGAGCCGCAAATTTGATATAGACAGACAATATGGACATGGATGTGCAGGTGAGAGGCGCGGATTATTTCCACAAAACTATTTATAGTTTTTCTATCGAAATTTATAACCAAAAATTCTGGTTGGGTCCAGCTTATCCGGGCTATTTTATATATTATTATAACTACTTAGTTTTTAAATTATTAATGATTCTCATAGCCATTTTATTTATTTATTTACTTTTGTTCCTCTTTCCTGATGGTCTTGCATAGGGCTCGGCATTTTATTTTAGAAACTAAACCCTGGTCATAAAAGACAAAAAAAAAAACATAGCACCAAAATGTATCAGATTTTGCAGATGAATTAAGGCTGTTTTCCCCAATATTTCAATAAATTATCAGCAGCTGTCTAACTATACTACTACATTACAAATATGAAAATAATTTGGGAAACTTTTCCTCCGGTGCGTATCAGTGCATCCCAATATATAAAGCCTCAGAAGAATGCAGTTTTGTGAAGCCAATAAAAAAATATTCACGATTTTCAACAAATGATGGAAAACTAACAGTTCTTTCAAAAAATAATAGCATAGGAAAATGAGTAGTTAGTTAAGGCATTTTCTGCTCTAAAAACAAGAAAATTAATTAATTTAGGAGGAAAATTATTCAAAGAGAAAGGAAAGAAATAAAAGGAAAAATTATGTAGCATTTGTGAATGAACAAGACAGATTTTAATGCAAATTGATCAAAAGCATGTATTGTGATTTGCTAGATTATACAGAAAGTATGCCAGACATTTTGAGATTTATTAATTGCTACAAATATTTTCCATTAGATGCTATTTCACTACCTTGTTGTAGAACAGCAATTTGCAACTGGAAAGCAGGGAAATGTGATTAGTTGCAGCTTTTCAGCCACATACCAGCAAGCCATCATTGTACCTTTTACACGAATTAGATGACTGGCTATTAATATCATATTGATCACCAATACGACATTCGACAGTTGCAACAGGATTCACTTTTTCTTCATAACTAGACTCGGACATTGCGACTATTGTTTAGTACAACAAAAATTATTCCTTAGTTAATAATGTCCTGAGCCATTCATTTCATTACACCAAGAATCTTAGCACCTTCACATCAATCCAATCTCTCTTGTCAGAACAGCTGTTACCAAAGGGTTTTCAAAGATCCACAGCAAATCACATCCAAGCAATCTTAAAAAAACTGTCTTCACTTAAAATGGAATATCTGCAATTCCTTGTCAGAATGTCAAAAAAAAAAAAAAAAAAAAAAAAA